GAAAAAAAAGTGAGAGAAAATGCAGGTAAACCCCATGCTACAGGCCTGGCATTTAGATCCATGCCTACTGCTAATGCTTATTCTGCAGACTGAGCACTGGCTCACTAGTTATCTGGAACATTGCCACAAAGTCTCAAAGGCTTTAAAATGTCTGTGGAAGCGCACTTTGAATTTCTAAGGAGGAGCATTTTGTTTAGCAGTAGCGTTTACTTAACTCCTCAAAAGCAAAGTACTCATGACCTCTGGAACATCATAGAGGGCTGACAGAGTCCCGGCATAGACACAAGCTGCTTCTGCTTTGATGAGACATCAGGCCGTTCCCAGAGAGCAGCTGCCCTCCTGGCGTTCTGTGTGGTGCGATGTCCACCAGTTCAGTGAGTTAGTCAGAAACTTCCTCCCCACAGCCCCACCACCCCACAGCCCCCACAGCCCTCCTCACCCCCACACCCCCACACTCCCACAGTCCCCCACATCCCCACAGTCTCCCACACCCCCACAGCCCCCCACAACTCCCCACAGCCCCACAGCCCCCCACAACTTCCCACAGTCCCACAGCCCCTCACAGCCCCCACAGGCCCCCACAGCCCCACACCCCACACCCCCACAGTCCCCCACAACTCTCCACAGCCCCTCCAGCCCCTCACAGCCCCAGCACCGTGGCCCAGGGCATCCCCCACTGCAGGCTCAGTCTTTTATTTAGTTCCATGCTCGCTGCTGCCTCTGGTTGTTCGTCATCGCTGGGAAACGATCAAATAAGCCATGCGTGTTTTAACTCTAGCAAACCCTGGAGTTCCCTGTTAAAAATACCTTGGCGAGCTGCCACGGAGCCGCGGCAAACACAATAGCGGCTCCGCGCTCTGCCGTCCCTGCTTGCCGTCATGCGCACACGCGCAGTTTGAGCAACTTATTTCTGACAGCGACATTAACGAGCAATTTGTCTAGAAGTGTTGCGTAAACATGGGAAGAACACGGAACACCTTTCCACAGCACACACAGGAACAGAAGGACAGACTGTCAAACAGTCTTCAAGAAGGCACTTGACGGGCATGCTGCCAGCAGAATTGGGGCAGATTCAGTTCGAGTACCTCACTTCGGAGCCGCGACTCTGTTAGTCCAGACTGGACAGCCATCCTGTCCCCCTGCCCATCTATCGTGCAGCAGTCCTGAGCTATGGCCGCAGCTAATGCAGCTGTCTCTGAAGATGGCAATACGCCATCACTAAGCCCTTTGGAGGCCTGGACGCTCTGACTCAGTTTCAGGGAGTGCAGTGATCAGTTTGGCACGAAGTCATTTAACAATTAGATCGAGTTCCTTTCTCATCAATACAAAGTCCCTTCTTCCCGACAGAGGCCTGGCCTGGGTGGAGTTACTAGCAATGAGGCTAGCAATCAGCCCAAGACACAGAGATCGTGCCTGCTGTGGAGACATAATCTTGTGTACACACACACACACACACACACACGCACACATGCACACACACTCTTTCACTCCTGTCTTTAACATTGTCCTATCTGTCTGGAGGGCACAAACTATTATTTTGTATCCCTCGTGATACTAGATCTAGATTTGAGCTAAACAAGTTCAATGTATATATTGAGAGAGGGCTTCTCTGTGTAGCCTTGGCTGTCCTGGAACTTGCTCTGTAGACCAGGCTCGACTTGACTTCAAAGATCTCCCTGCCTCTGCCTCTCGAGTGTGTGTGCAACTACACCTGGCTAGTTCGCTCTTCATGTTTGTGCACTTGAAGGATGCTGTTACTGGTTTTTTAAGGGACTAGATGGGGTGAAAGGGAAGAAACTATCAAAGCAACATTGGAAGTGACCACAGACATCTCCTAACACCTTACTGTCTCTGCACTGTGGCACAAAATAAACTCCACCTATGGACAGAGATGCGGAGCAGACAATGGGCACTTGGTTACATGTGCACCTCCCTGTCTGTGTTCACACCATCCCAGCAGACAGAAGCACTGTCTGCCTAGTGACTCAGGAGAAAGGAGCATGCTGTGAGTCTGGATAAGCCAGAACCAGGCAGACTCTGTCAGGGTTGGACCACTGTCTCGTGGCATTTGGGAGATGGGTGTTGTACGGGTGGGGCCAGACAATGGAGGAGTATGCCTTCCCTAGAGACCGAAACTGTAAGACCCACCAAATGGATCTGTTCTTATCATCGTGTGCTGACAGAACCCAACAATGTTGGCGATGAAATTCTTTCCCCTCTGGGCTACCCCTGTCCCTCTTCTAGACTCTGAATACCACAGAAAAGACTTCTTTGTCTGGTGCAAGTCACATAACAGGGGATTATGGGGAAAAACCACTTTCCACTAAGGTGGGAAATTAAGAATAGAGATCCCCCAACTCCTTTGCTTTCTTTTCCTATCATTATTTTGTTTTTGTTTTGGCCATGACAACCTCGCTGCAAAGGTCTTGATGTGTTTTGCGTAGATCTGGTCCTTGCTAAAATCCTATTTGGGGGCTCCCATGTACACTGTAGCAGAACACTGGCCTGGCAGGTACAAGGTCCGGGGTTCCATTCCTAGACCAGAAACTAGACTCCATAGTTCAAGAAAAATGTCCACTCTCAGGTAAAAGGCTAAGAGATGGTTAATGGGGGATTTGATCAAAGTAAACTAGAGGGATATATAAAAATATAATGACATCTATTATTCTGTGACATTAATGTACCCTAAAAAATAGCAAATGTATACACTTAAAATGTCAATCTGTGTCAATACTTCTATCATCCCAATATTCAGAAAGCTGAAGAAGGAAGATTATGAGTCCAAGGCCAGCCTGGGCTACATAATAAGATCCCAACTCAAGACAGAGGCAGAGATGGGGGGGTTACAGGGCAAGAGAAATGAAGGGAGAAAAAATGGAGAGAAGGGGGGAGCATGAAAGGGGAGCAGGAAAGTATAGTCAGCGAGAACAGGGAAGTGAAAGTCAAGGGCTGGGAAGGGCTCTGTCAGAGCTGCCTTTCCCAGAAGCCCAGAGGACATCTGACAGACCCTGCAAACGGGTTCCAGAAGCCTTCTTTCATCAGGAGGATAGGCATTAAATCCACCCCTTATCTGCTGCCCCTCCCCTGCTTTCTGAAGCTTTAAGGTCACCTGATGGGGAGGGTGTCTCAGGGCTCAATGCCAACAGCTACTTGATGTATCAATTGTATCAGTGTATCAATTGTATCAATTGTAACCAGTGTGTCCCCTGTGGGGAGGTGGTGGTGCTGAGCTGGGCTGTGCATGACTGACAGTTCCTGTAAACTCATTCCACTTTCAATATCATCTGCCGGTGGAAGTCACCAGAAGGGATGTGGTCAAGGGCTGAGATTGGCCTGCTAGAACTCCAGGACCGGCTTCCCAGACACGGAATGGGGGAAGCCCTGGCGGTGTCCTGCGAGTCAAAGCCAGACGGTTCCAGACCCATGGAGGACTTCAGATACTCACTTGAAAAATGATCGGTTCACATAGAACAACTCTCCAAACAGTTAAGGGCTGTTTTGTCCTACAGGCAGCTTATCTCAAGACCAACCTCTCTATGGTTTAAAAAGAAAACCAAGATTTTTTAATAAAATTTCTTTATCGTACAATCCTGTAAGAGGAGGTCTCTTCAGCGACGGCAGTGATCGTGAAGAGTGAGATCCAGGTGCATACAACTACTGACATTTCTCAACACTGAGGGGGCAACGATAATGTTAATAGTTCGAGGGTGATCGGTACTGACTTAGCGTCTCGTTAGGAGGGGAAGGTTAAGATACGTGGAAAAGATATTCCTCTGGGATGTCCCTTGTCGTACAACAGTGGCATTATTTTCCTTTCTTTGGCCCTCTTGTTACTATCTGGAATCTCATTTAAGTGAGAGAGAGAGTACTTCTGAACAAGAGATGAATTGCAACATATAAACACCCCAAGAGGTAACACGGACTTGATCTCTCAGAGTGGCCTTCGGGTTGAGGTTGGCCTGGATAGAACTGTGGAGAGGGATGCAGGCTGGTGAACTACTAGGCAGCACCCTGGGATTCTAGGGAATAGCTGCAGAGAGACAAAGACCCCAAAGGAAACCCTCCTAACATCTTTCCGTGCAGTACTGTGGCCTTGGGAACGGCCTGCTCACAGGTGACTGCATTCCGGAAGCATCTATGACAAGTACACTGATAACTCGTGTATTCACAGCCGTTCACCACTCTCTCAAGCTTCACTCTGTGCTCTGACCCAAGCGCTCTGTCCGTCACTGTGACTGCTAGGTTCTGCTGTCTGTCCGTCTTCCTGTCACCCAGCAGATAAAGTGGTGACCCCCCCCAAACCATAGCCATGCTCTGAAAAGCATGCCCCCTCCTTAATCCCTTCTAGCTTTCTCCACCTACTGAGCAAACAGCTCTCTAATTGCAAATCACCCAAACTCACTAATTTCCCTCCTCACAAAAATGGTATCATTTAAATGATACCATCCAGGGCTAATAAATTACACCTGGCCCCAAGGCACTAAAATCTTCTATCAAGCAGAGCCACCTAGTGGCAGAACTGAATACATTTTTAATTTTCATTGAATTTCTCTCTGATAGTAATCCAGACTGGGTGGGTTAGGGTCCTTTGTTTGTTGGCTTGCTTTTTGAAATGTTCCTCCTAATCACGATTATTTAAAGCCACCTTCTTTGGGCCTGTTCTCTCCACCTGTTTCCTTACCAAACATCTATCCATCCAAGGCAATTAACCTCACAGTTCAATTTGCTATAAACAACAAATTTTAGGGCTAAAACGGAAACCGGCTCAATAGTGTCTCTTTGAAACATCAAGGACACATCAATACCAATTTATATCTAAGGACAAAGAGCTACTGGGACACTTTTGTAGTTTCCAAAACACGCTTCCTGACCGCACAGCCCTCCATGTAAACTGACAAATTAAATTGCCAGGCATAGGGAAGGTGAACAAAACACCATACTGTGGTTGTGGCCCACTTCCACCCTCCATGACCCCTGAGAGAAAGCAGATGTAGACATACCTTGGGCTGAGGTTTGGCTCCTTTTCTTCCTTCAAAGTAGGTAAACATTCATAGTCAGCTAAGTTGGCAGAAAAACAAGGCCATTGTTAGTCACCAGAACTGCCTTTTCTGTCCACAAAACTGACACCGTCGGGCTTGGACTACACCCTCTATGAGACCACTCGTGAAGAAACAGCCCCGCTAGAGAATTCTAGAGGTTCAAAGATTAATGATGCCGAGACTCTTGAAATGATAAGCGCCCCAGTCACACAGACACGAAGCCGGGATGTTCTGTGTCCCTGTTGAAAAGGGCATAATCCATCACGGCTTGCTTAGTTGGTCCCCTGAAGCCCACTGTGTTCTGAAAGTCAGAACATGCCTCTTGGAAGCCAGATACGGGAATAAGACTGCTGTGCCTCAGATCCTGAAGTGTCTGCAGAACGACTTTACGGCAGGAGCATCAGGAAGGTGGGGAGTGGCCACCTTCCCTCAGGGAGCTTCTTTCTTCTCTAACACTCACACGTACATGCACACACACACGCACACACACATGCACACACGCACACACACATGCACACACGCACACACACATGCAACACGCACGCACACAGTGGCGTGGTGTATCATATGCATACCCATGTATGCCCATGTGGAGGCCAGAGTTTGGCACTGGGTGCCCTCACTTATGGCTCTTCACCTTATTTTTTGAGGTAGGGTTTCTCACTGAATACACAATACCCTCTTCTGGGCATCATGCATGTGCATAAATGCTCCTACTTGCACATAGATGTTGACATACATACATACACATAAATAAGGTAGTAGCTAACTAGATAGACCTATTTTAAAACATACAAATGAGTGAACTGAAGAGATCATCCAGTGAGCAAAAATGTCTCCTTAGTGCACAAGCATCGAGTACTTGAGTTCAAATCCCCAGCACCCATGCCAAAACCTCCGTGTGGCTATACATACCCATAAGTGCACTCACAGTGTGTGTGTGTGCGTATTCATGCACATGTGTGTATGTGGGGGGAACACATGGGCAGAGACATCTTGCTGTCTGGACTGTCTAACCAAAAAGCAACAAGTTCCAGGTTCAGTGAAAAATTCTCAAAGGAATATGAATGGACTGTGTTAGAGGGCAGTTTCCTCTTCACACAAACCACACACACACACACCACACGCACCACATACACACACACACACCACAAGTACACCACACATATACCACACACACCACACATATACACACACATTCACACACACCACAACTACACCAAACATACACCACACACATACACACACATACACACACCACATACACCACACACATACCACACATACACCACACACACACCACACATACACCACACACACACATGAACATCATACACACAAACATCACACACACATTCACACATGAACATCACACACACACGCACACACAGGCACAAACTCAGAAAGAAACAAATAACTGCGCCATCTCCCTTCGAAAAGTCCCATTTCCACTTGTACACAATTAGAAACAAGTGCTAACCACAGATGCAATGGTGATGATTAAGCTGGACACTTCAGGACCATTCAGACCTGTGCCCGATGGAGCGTGGCTTCAGAATTCCTGAGCTGCTGCCGAAGCCGAGGCAGCCTGCTAACCTTCCATCACCAGAGGGGCAAACAGACACTCCGGCCTCCACATACCATTTCTATTCATGCTGCTCATCCACCTGTCCAGCTCCTCCATCTCTATTTCCATCACGGAGGGTGTGTCCTCTTCAAAAATAGGGCTAGACGGAGGGCAGAAACGCACGTTTTAAAAAAGAACAAGCCCCGCCGACTGAATTTCATCGGGGGAAGAGTCTAGAACGTTGCCTAGATAGAAACAACCTGATTCCGTGTGTGATGCCCCAGTCCGGCCCCAGGTCTGTCCTCATCAAAGAAGCATCAGACTAACAGCAAGAAAGGCAAAATCTGCAAGAAACCCTCATCTGTCATTCAGGCCAAACCGGATGGCATAGAGGCCGGGGGTAACTCAAAGAGAAACTGCTCCCTGGAGACCAAAGCCACGGTTGCCAGGGTGCTCAGAGGCTGCCTAGGGACACTTCTCTTTTCTTGGAATTTTGATCAACGACCCAGATCAAGAGCGGTCGTCCGGCTACTTTTATCTGATCTCCTTCTAGGTCCAGGCTCTCTAACTAGGAGCAATGGAACTGCCGCTCTCAGAAGTGCTCTGGCCCCATGGCCCAGGTTTCGAGGGTATGAATAGGGGCAAAAGCTCTGGTCGGGACGGATGGAGCCAGGGAGGAAAGACTGCAGCTCTGAATGCATTGCAGGTGTTGTGCCTGCTCCAGGAAAGACGATGGGAGGGGCAGGAGAGGCGTCGCCCCACGCTTTTGGGGTTCACTCAGGACCAGAATATTTACTGCTATGAATCTGGCACTGGTAGCACCCAGACAAAAATTCCTTTCTGGCAAGTGACAACAGCCAAGACCACTGGGCAAGGTTTGGAGACTAAGACGCATCTCCCATGTGACTGTGGGGGCTGCCAGAGTGCAGGGGTACTGGCCCACAAGAGAAGCCACCCAGATGGTTAACGGCTCTGTCCTCTCTTCCCCCCGACTATTGTCCACACAGCAGGGGAACCGAGGACCGGTGGGGAGGACTCACTCACACTTTCAGGTTTTCGCCAATGGGCTCGTCTGAAAGAGAACACACATAGGAATCACGTCAGCATTGACCATCTGCAGGGATTACAGCAATAACCCTGAGTCTCCTTTACGATGGAAGGAGATAGTGGCGAGTGAATTGTCTTTTTAAAAAACTTGCTTTTACTGTATTTATTCTGTGCATGGGGACCCATAGCATTTAAGCGAAGACAAGGGGACAGTCTGAGGTAGGAGGTTCTCTTCTTCTACCACGTGAGTTTCAGGGATCAAATCCAAAGCCTTTACCCACTGAGGCACCTTGAGGTCCGTGGGTCACATTTCGAAAGCAGCCGCCATTAGCCTCCAAGGCACACAGTGCAGATTGCTGTGGTGAAACCAGGTCCCAATCCCCCACAGAACCTGGGCTCTGCCTTCTTTAGAGATGAGTGCTCCCTGAGAGTGCTCACCTTCATTATTATTTTTGTATCCATGCGAAGAAGAAAAGCATGGTCAGGAAAGAAAGGAAGTGTTAAAAACAAACAAACAAACAAACAAGCAAAACCAGGGGTTGATTCCTGACCTGCCTTCAACAAAACAACGTTCCAGATCATTTCCTTACGACACATCGTTCTAAACCTATGCCACATGGGCGACCCCATCAAGGGATGCCTTTAAAAGTCCCCTTCACCCTGCTCTTCGAACATCTAGATCCCTCCACCTCTCAGGCAGTCATCCCCACCTCTATTCAGGGAAGTCCATCCGTGCCACGGGTCCCTGGCTCTGCGTTTTGCTTGCTTCCTTCACAGTACTGGCCAGTTTCTCACCTGTTGGACCATCTGTTTGAGTCTGTTTCGTCTGTCCTTCCCACTAGAGCATAGTTCCCAAAGGGCCAGGAGAGCATCTTTCTGCCTTGTTCACCGTGACATGCCCCAGCCCCCATCCTGCTAACGCAGTATCCAGACAACACCTAGCAAATATCCACTGGGCAGATGAATAGGTTTCAATCTCAGTTGTCTATGATGGAGTTAAATTCACGTCTGATCTCTTGGACCTATCATTATTATAATAGCGGGACTTCCAGCCAGCTTGCCTCTGATGGCTGCTGATTGGGGTGAGAGTCAGGTGAAATTTGACAAAACAGCTCTAACGCGGATAAGGCTCCGGATGAGCAGGTGCAAGAACCATAGCCTGGCCCAAGCAAACTCTGTTTAGTTTGGCAGGGAAACCAACATCCCCCGGGAAGGGAATCAAGGATGACAAGTGGGCACACTGGGAGCAAGACAGATGCTCTGGAAAGCAAACCTTTGCCAAGGTCCCCGGAGAGGCAGATGCTCCTGACCCCTGGCATCAGAGGCCACCTGGTGTCTAGCCTGCTGAAGTACAGTTATCAGCAAGGAAACACAGCAGCGGGCACCTGGAACTGAGCTCAGGGCAGCTCAGGCTGCCACGTCCTGCCTGTTGGCAAGCTTCAGGGGCACGGCTAGTCCAGGAAAGCTGGCACAGATGCAGGATTCATGCCGTCCCTGCTTGCCTTGAAGGCACTGTGGGTCCTGCCTTCCACCCCTGAATAGGGTCTGAAGCCTCTGCTTGCACCAGCATTATAAGCATGCAGCCCCCCCCACACACACACACGTATTTCTGCAGTGCTTGGTGACTGAACCCTGTAGAGAACCCCCTGCCCCATCACCCTGCACTTCTGAACAATCCCACTTCCCCTGCATACGAACTTCCCTGCTAATTTCTCAGGGAGCAAATGACCCCAGCGCCCTTCTCTAATCTTCCCCTCATTTGGGCTCCCACAGGCTTGGAGGTGAGAATGAGCTGACCTGCATGCAGATGATGGGAAAGTTTTAAAAAATCCATTATCGAAGTGCTCCAGATACACCAAATGAGAGGCTCTGTAATCGGTATTTTAAAAGAGCAAAAAGCCTTCTGTGGCCTCATCTTCCCTGCACCAGGGCCATTACCTCTGCCCCAGCCACCATGGCAACAGAAACACACCTGGGAGAGAGTGCTGGAGCCGAGCATTAAACCGGGGGGTGTGGGGGGGGACCAATTACTTGTCCTCAGCAATCTGATCCTGCCTGCTCCACTCCACAAGGCCTACATCTCTTTACTAACAGCCACCAATTCAACGCAGCTGCCCCCACTGGGTTTCATTTCATCCCTTTCTGTCCCGCCATGTCATAGCCTCCCCCACCTTACTCTTCTCCTTCACAACCATGTATCTTGATGAGACCCTCCCAGCACCTCTTCTCTCTGGGCCCTGGGCAGTGAGATTGTTGGCGCAGTGGCCGAGGGAAGGAGCCGCAGAGGGCTCTGGCCACCCGATTTCCTGACTGAGCCCGAGACTCACTGAGCAGAGCCAGGCATCAGGCAGCCACAGCCCGTTCTAAGTGAAGACTTCTTGCCCAAGCCGCACAGCGGTTCTTTGAGAGACACCCAGCGCATCAATCCGATGCTGAGAAAGGCGTGCCCTGCCCTAATTCGGTGAGAGAGAATTTTTTTCCGGGCTGTCTTTCCCTCAGAGATTCCATTTCGCAAGTAGAATTGGCCCGTGTTTCGAGGCGGAGAATGACTGTGGCCTGGGTAGCCCTGGGAATGACATCACCTGTCAGAACTACCCAGAAGGCACACAGGGATAAAGAAGTTACTAAGGGTAGAAAGGGTAACACTGTGTACACTTATCAAAGCAGGCTGAGATTGTAGCTGCCCTTGGGTCCATTAAGTCACATCAGGAACACTGGGCCCCAGAAGTCACCTGACACACTAGGCTGAAGAAACGGTAGAAGTCGCTCATCTGAGCTACAAAGACTGGATGGCGGGCACCGTGATGGTAACAACCCGACCCAACTGTCAGCTGACCACCGTGTGTGTGTGTGTGTGTGTGTGTGTGTGTGTGTGTGAGAGAGAGAGAGA